TACACACACACACACACACACACACACACACACACACACACACACACACGCATACACATACATACACACACACACACACATACATATACACTTCACTTTTCAGTTTAAAAAAAGAAAAGTTAAACCATCTGCCAGTTGTTTCTCTTCATAAATTTTATTTACTTTTCAATTTTTTAAACATCATTTTTCATTCATTTATTTATACTTTTTTTTTCTTTGCATTTATCTCTTTTACTTTTTCACTCATCTTTTTCTGACATTTAATTTATTCCCTTCCCAATTCATCCATTACTTTATTTCTCTATCATATAGTGCATACTATCAACGTAATCATTTACGTAAATTACGTCAGCATTAATGATACATTTCATCCAATATTTCGCCATCATAAATTTATCCAATATTTCTCGTTTCAAAATTCATTTAAACGAATGAAAGGACAAATACAACGACATTCGTTCTCATTAATTTCAGAGGAGCGACAATTTTCTCGTTATGATTGTTCGTTAAAGAAGTGTTTAATACATGCCATTCATTTGGGTCTGGTCTACATACTTACCTGAATAGATTTCAGTTCATTTCGAAAAACAATTTCGTAGTTCTCTTTCCTTTCTAGTATATTTGATTTTCAAAATAGATTCATTTCAAACCAGAAAGTTACTGCATTTCGATTGAAATACAACATCTGGAAAGCATAGCAATTTACTACATTCCTAATGCTTAACATTAACAATATCTCAATTTCGGGATTTACCAAAACTTCTCTCATTTCAGAATTTCAGGAATTCCGTTACATGAATTTTCTTTTTTCCTTCCCTTATGTAAAGTTTTGTAATTTGGACGGATAAAGTTCGTTCTGTTTTCTTTTTTTTTTTTGTCACAATTACTTTGAAAGGATGGAAAGGAAAAGCGAGCTTTGTTTTGTGCCATAACATAATTGACCAATTTAAATGGGGGGTTTTTTTTCTCTCTCTCTCTCTCTTTCTAAATTCAATACCATGAATAATTTCCAAACAGAATGCTAAATGTCATTATAATTGAGCTAAAATTCAGGATAAGTTATAAAGTTGCCGACATTCACAAAGACATGTCACCGTTAGCAAACGAATAGTTCGTTGAAAAAAATGAAATAAATAAATAAAGTAAACATTTCCTCTTTTTTAAGCCTATGCTCTTCTATTCGATCTCAGAAAAAAACAAAAAAAAGGACTGATTGTGAGCGCAGTGAGACGACATTATGCAAACGTTATTCTAGGGCCAGTGGTTCCCAATTTATGATCCACAAAGACGGCGACATGATGAGTTAAAAATAGGCGGAACTGTTCTTATCAGTCGAATACGTTCAATGTTTTGATTCAAGTTCGTTTTCAAATTAACAGAATTTATTATTTGTGAATCTTATGGTGTTTGGTCAAGAAAATGTTAGGAACTATTATTGTAGGCGAAGGCATACATCACGTGTGTTCACGTCATTCTTACCTGGTATCTAAATAAAAATAGGAAAGAAGTATATAAAATGGAATAAAGTATGACAAAGAAAATATATAAAATAAAATAAAATATGAAATTTACATAAAATAAGTTTTAATGGATTTCCCTCAATCATATGGCTTAGTGAAACATCAGAGGACAGGAGTCTTTTTACTTCATCACTTTAACTACTTAATTAATTATTATGCTTTAGACAAATTCCTTTTTAGCTCAATATTTTTTTATTTTTATTTTAATTGATTCGAATATTTATAAATTTATTTAAATAATTTGTTAAGGAATGTCCGTATGTCATTTTATTTGATCACAGATATTTGTCGCATGCTTTTGATCTTGATGAATGTTGACAAATGACAAACATTTTCAGTAATAATATAACTGTGCACAAAAAAATCGCTTTTATTATTTCATATCGGAAAGTTTGTTTGATAAGATATCAAATCTATTGTACTTTTTCCTTTTTTAATATAAAACTTATTTGTAAAGCCAACTAACAAAAAGAAATGATATGATATCAGCGCTTAAATTATATGTCAATTTATACAAATAATCAACGCTTATCAATATATCTTCATTTTCTCTCTCTTTTTTTGTTCATTTCTGAACCAATCTTCATCGTAGATAATCCTTATCATTATCGTTATCATTACCTTTCTATGTTATTCATCAGTAAATTTATACTTTTGCTGCACTTCTACAAATTCATACTTAGTAAACATGATGACACTTTTAACTGTTGAACTAATTTTTATCGCTTTTTTTTTGATTTCATCATACATAGCTTTCTCCTAATGACAATATAAGGTGAGTAATCTAGTTGGAACTCCCTTACTCACTGGTATCTTTTTGATCATTTTTTTTTTTTTTTGTTTCAAAATTTTCTTCATGTTGTGATCCATCATAATACTATTCTTCCGTTCCCTTATTTAATGATTCATTGACTTGACCATTGGCCCTAAGCGGAAGTTTAGATCCTCATCTTTTATGTTTACTTTTTTTAGTTATTGTTGAATGAATGCTGTTCTTGTCTTTCATTTTACCAAATTTAATTTTTACGGTTACTTCTTTGAAATTAGTTTCAGTGCATGCAAAGTGAACTATCTCGAGAAGTGTACCACATGTTTATTCCTTAGTTATATTTTTCATTTCAGACAGAAACATCAACTTCCTAAGACTTATTCTTGCTTGCAAATTAGGATTATTTGCTGCTTATTAATTTTATTTATATTTATTTGTTCTTTGTTTTTTGTCACCTAAAAGTCACTGAACAAAACAAGCATGCTATTGGAGCTAGCTAGTTCATTTGCCAATCGATTTGCAACTAAAGGATATGGTATTTTTGAAAATGGTGATGGGAGACTTCCCATAAATGACCGTGATTTGGAGAATCGACGTCAAGTACGTTTTTGGCTCAACTTCATCGAAATTCAGCTTTGTATAGATATTTTTATAAATTTCCCGATCGAAATATTGTCATATTTACGAAAAGTATTTTCAGATCGATGAAATCTGTCGTCCTTTGATGCTCAATGATGACAATTTGAAGCAAGTGATGAGTGAATTGCTTAAATCAATGGAAAAAGGCCTGCATCACAAAACTGGTTTCTATTTTTCCCTCTAATTTTTGCGCTTAAAATTTGTTGGGCATGAAGATAGATGGCAGAGGAAGAGGTCAGTCTATAAAACTCTTTAAAATCATGATCGGCCTTTACTGAGTATGAAGTCAGTTTTGGTTGCCAAAGTCGGTTTTTATTTAGCAAATTTTTTAGGTCAAAATGCACTATGATTTTACACGTTATATGACACGTGATGCAAAGGTGTTGTTGGGTCGATGTAATTACAGCGTGAAAGGTATTTTAGATTTATATTATTATTTTATATTTATCGCTGTCTTGTTAATTTTCAGCATCACAGGCAGCAGTGAAAATGTTGCCTTCCTTTGTACGCGCAGTGCCTGACGGTACTGAAATTGGAGCTTTTCTCGCGCTTGATCTTGGCGGCACCAACTTCCGTGTGTTGTTGATTAAATTGAATAAACGAGATGCCGAAATGACTGGAACGATCTTCCGTGTACCAGAAAATATAATGCGTGGCACTGGCGAAGGGGTATGTAAATAATATAGTTTAACTCAATCTGTAAATTTCCGAAATATTTTTATCATAGATTATTCCCATATCCCTCGCTTTGTTTAGCTGATGCTAAGTGACGGTTTTACAGCTATTCGATCATATCGCTGAGTGCATGGCTCGTTTCATGGAAGAAAAAAATGTTAAACAAGCTGGAAAGCTTCCTCTTGGTTTCACGTTTTCATTTCCGTGTCGACAGGAGGATCTGACATGTGCGAAACTTATCAATTGGACCAAAGGTTTTAATGCAAGTGACGTTGAGAATAAGGATGTCGTTACACTGCTACGTGAAGCATGCCAACGTCGCAAGGTTCAGTTTCCTTGTCTGTGAATTATCATGAATTTTTCGCAGTCATGGAAGATAAAAGTTTCATTTTTTTTCTCTTCCTTATTCCTTATCTGTTCCAAAAACTAGAAGGATGTATATTCGATCTTGGCTTTTCAGGATATTGATATCGATGTGGTAGCTGTTCTAAACGATACTGTTGGTACGTTGATGGCTTGCGCATTCAAAGAGAATACATGTCAAATTGGTGTTATCGTTGGTACAGGTACCAATGCGTGCTATATGGAAAAAATTAAAAATTGCGATAAAATCAAGCATTTGCTTTTAAAAGATGATGGAATGCCAGATGAGGTATTTTAATTATATTATTTAATTACATTATCTAACTCGAATTATTACGCATGAGAAAAATGCAAACCATATGAAGGTCGCGTGAAGAAGCCCATTTTAAAAAGTCATTTGAACGAATAAAATCGTTATGGTTGCTTAATTTTAGATGATCATCAATACGGAATGGGGAGCATTTGGAGATGATGGTGTGCTGGAATTCCTGCGCACTAGTTTCGATCGAGAAGTGGACGAGAAATCGATCAATCCTGGCAAACAATTGTAAGACTTGCTTACTTTTCCTGTTCTTTGTTTCGAACAATAGGCAGGTTATATGCATGTAAGCTTTGGAAAATAATTCTTATCGGTGGGTTTGGTGGTTTTGTTTTCAATGAGACTTGATGGTACCGTCCGACCATATTACAGAATCATTTGTGGATTGTCACTCTGACAGGTACTGTCACTTGGAATTGCAATACCTCGTGTTGCCTACGTTTGTTGAAGCAATTCCTTAGCTCATCTGTGGACCACCTGTCTCTCTCTGCGAGAAATAATGTCGCATTTGGTTAAGCTTACAGAGTGCTTCAAATTTCCTGACAACTCATTGAAACAATATCCTATCTTATTTGTGAACTGTTTCCCACCGAAGAAATGATGCATTCTATTGGTCCTGTCGAGTAATGCATAGCAAAAGGCTGTCTTTTTCAGATAGGGTTTTCAATTCTAAAATGTTCGGCATGCATTACAGGAGCTTGTGCTTAGTGGACTCGCAGTTAGGCGGGCTCACTGCAGCGGCGGTGTTTTGGAAGCCTGTATTTGTGTGATTCTACGGGCAAAAGCACTACTATCAATTGACGCCGCTGCAAAATTTTTCTGGCTGCGAGTTGCTTTAAACGCACACACACACACAAACACACACTGCTTGATTACTTCTTCTTTTCGGTACTCTGTGAGTTGCCAAAAAAGCAGTGAATGATAAAGGCCGGTAAGGAACTGCAGAATCTTGGTCACAGCACTAATAAATTTTCAAAAAATAATTCAAATTCAAAAAAAGTTGCTGGAAAGAGTTGTAATTTCTTGCCTTTTCAACGAAAATTTTCCGTGTGGATTGGAATTTCATACTGAGAAAACTTTTCTTTGAACATTTTCAGCATATTTTTTACATCGAAAGCAGGCAGGCCTTGATACGTTGTGACCTGTTCTGCAAGTAACGGTTAAGTTAATGGTACGAAAAAATGGAAGTTTCATTGATTAATAATTGAGATTTACAGATTCGAAAAAATGATCTCGGGTATGTACATGGGCGAAATTGTTCGTGTCATTCTAGCTCACCTGGCACGCCGAAATCTTCTTTTCAATGGTGATTACGAGGCCATTTCAAAACCACATTCATTCCCGACTAAATATGTCTCCGAGGTTGAAAAGTATGTCTGTGTCAGTTGACATCTGAAAATTAGGAGATTTCAAATGTATAAACTCTAAAAAAAAGTGTGTTCAGGATAGACTATCTTCTTGCCTCAAAAATATAAATTTAGAAGTCCAAGTTTATACCTCATTTTTTGTGTGAGTCTCGTATATAATGCGTATTTTGAAAAAAAAACTGTTGTACTATTCAGTGTTTATATTATATTGCATGGAAACTCTGTTTTAGAGAAATTTTGGAAGATGAAGAGCGAAATTTCGCAAAAACAATGCAGATTTTGGAAGAAATTGGAACCGAACAAGTATCAGTCGCTGACTGCATTAATGTTGCATACGTATGCTCTCTTGTTAGTACACGGTAAAGTGCTTCTATTCTTATCTTAGTTACATCAGAAATATATTTTACGTACACTCAAGTTATACTTGAAAAGAGTATAAATCAGTCTAGATTGGTTTTTTTTTAAATCCTTATAATCTATTTAGTAACTTTTTTCTTGGATTTTTTCATTAAAAACTGTTTCAGAGCTGCATACTTATGTGCTGCTGGCATAGCAACATTGCTGAATCGAATGCAAAAACCATACGTGACAGTTGGTGTTGACGGTTCCGTTTATCGATTTCATCCTACCTTCCCGCGCTTGCTTGATGAGAAAATAGAGCAGCTGATCGATAAGAAATTGAAGGTGACCTTATTTTTATGTTTTCTGTTGAGATAACCGAATAACATATTACTTAGACTTGGACATGATTGGTTGTTAATGACGAAATGGTTTCTATGTCAAATTTGCAACGCCTATTTATGTCACATTTTAACTTTAAGTAGTAAAAACTTTAAGGGAAGACATGAAGAGTAAATTTAAGGTTTTAACCAGTTTCTGTTTGAAGACTGGGAAATTTTGGCTTTTGCCGCTAAATGAGATTTGCGTCTCAATACATGCTATATTTCGGTTCGTCTGTATAAATTATAGTTTTTTTGCAGTATCAGTTGATGCTCTCAGAAGATGGAAGCGGTCGTGGAGCAGCGCTAGTGGCAGCAGTTGCAACGCGAATTAAAAATAAAAGTTGTTCTCAAACATCTGTTAATTGAATTTGTGCTGCATGTTTTGCCATAATTTTTGCAAATTATGGGTATTAAAGAAGAATTTGTTTCGTCTTTTTTGTTTCTCTACATATTTGTTGAATTTACGGTTAACTTAGCACTCATTCATTCGTGTCTCTTGTTTATGCATGTATTTTTGGCCCGTATTTGCAACCACGGCAAAATTAATAACAGCAGCGACGATCAACTATCAAACAATGGTACTCTTTTTATTAGCGATGGTTTCAACTCTATGTGTTGCAACTTGTAACATTGAAACTGTAATTTTCTCTTTCCAGAAAATCACCTTATTGGCAATAGTTTTAATTCTAAAAAAACGATGCATCCATAATCTTGACGTCATCCATAATAACTATAGCACCGACATATGGCTATTGTAAAAGTTTTAGGATATTTTGAAAGGGTTTTTTAAATGTTCATCTTTCTTTTTAAAAGAAAAAGAAACATTTTAAGACATTTGAAAAACTTTTTGAAAAGTGAAGTAATATTCACTTTTTTTTCGATTTCCACTTATGTCACAAAATTCATCTTTTCAAGTTTTCCCAAACAGAGCGGAATCATTTGTCTATGTGTCAGTACTGCTTATCAGTCACTTACCACATTCAACATTTAATCAAGTTTTATTTGTATGCTAGAGTTCTGTTTCAAAGTATCCAAAACTTTCATTCCACATATACATCTGCTTCTGCTTCTCCAGTATTTTTTATGTCATTACGTCATATTTTCGTTTTCTGAAATAATTAACTTTTATGTCATTACGAATAATATTTTCGTCTTTCCTGAAATAATTAATAATATAAACTGAATTTTTCTCCTCCCGCAGTTAGTGTGTCGTTTCCATCTTTTTTTACATTTTTCAATTTAGGCTGTTTAGTTTTTTTTTTCCATGCGGAATTTGTCATAGGTTTTATTTCCCCGTGTGTCATTAAACGCATAAAGAATATTCAGTGTTTTCTACCTGCTGTCTCCAGCAACCATGGACGAGTACTAGTTTTATATGTTAAAGTTTTGTTATTACCGAATGGAAGTTCAATTTACAGCATTTCAAGAAGGAATGAAATGAATGGTTGGTATATCAGTCGGGAAAGTTAAACGTCTTATAACTGCTAATGAAGGTCTCATCTCTTGGATTTTTTTTTCCTGGGTTTACGGTCACTTATTGCAATATCTTTGGCAGTTCCTGGATTAAAAAGGGAAGTGACTCTCGAATTATGAAGCACCACCATATGATGAAGCCACATACTCTTGTATTGGTCCGAAGGGAATGTAGTGATGTTTGACGAGTGTTGTGATATCGTGGTGGTGTCTTGTCTTGAGAGATTTCTATACTTTCATCTAGCTCTATTCTCGTCAATAATCTCATCGTCTAAGTAGTTTTATATGTTAACAAATATGAGAGATTGTCGGCGTTTCTTCAGTTTTACCGGAAGGTCCACCAACCCAGCTATTTCTCATTGCTCATCATGAACTTTGAATATCAGAAAACGTTTTCTCTGTTGATGAGTAAGGAAAGTCCTTCTGTTTATGTGAAGCAGTTATTTGGCCTTAATTATAGTATTTACGGTTAGAACAGAAAACTGGACTTCCATGGACTCTTATTACCAATATATGGCTCGTCGCGGCAGTGGTATATTCAGGATCCTTCAACGAATAATACTCTCATCTGTAGAAAGACTGAATCTTTAGGGGTGTCAAGTCAGAAATAGCTACCGAAAGATACATTAGGTGTAATTGTCTGATGGCCCATATCAAAGTTTCATTTCCAGAAAACCGTAAACCCTTCTAGTATTTCAGTTTGCATAGCCTGAAATCATCGAAGTCGGTTGCTCTCTCACACTTCCTGACTATATCGGTATAAGACGGATGGACGGGCAGAAGTGGTACGGTACTTTGCCAAGTCCCATTTGTTAATGATATCCGCGCCTTACACGATCAGACTGTTTCACTACAAACGCTCTCACATCGGTGAACATTGCACTTTGGACTTTCTCCACTATAATGTTGTATTCTCCCTTCACTGCATTAATATAAAAGGAACGGTTGACCTCAAATGACCTTTCCCTTATCATTATCATTTGTTTCCAAGTTCTTATAAATCCCTTGGAATATATCTACCGGAGATTACTGGTGTAGAGAAGGTGATGAATGGGATACGTCTCTTCTCAAGTCATCTACAAAGACAGCATAATATTCTGGTAAGTTTAATTTTTAGCGTTATTTTAATTTGTTTTTTTCTCAAAATTTAGATATGTGAAGCTATGAATTTTTTGAGGATAAATTTCAGAATATTTCAACTTTTTATGATAGAGGAATAAAAAGTTCGATAGGTACTGTAACAAATCGATATCTTTGATTATATATTACTAATGACTTGAGATAACTACCAGTAAATACGCTAAATACGCAGACGAGAAGTCTATTTTAGGCTAATAATATGGAATTTGATTTGGTATGTAAGGCAGAAGGTTATGAGATTGATGTTTCAAGTATAACTGGTTTTCTTTAAAACTAAATTAAGCGGGAATTTTTGGCTCGAAAGTAGTTTATACTAGTTTGGCTTTGGATTTAAGTTTATTTATATTGCGAAGAAGGTGGGACTGTAATACTGTACGAGGAAGGAGTGAGGATCGAAATCAAAAGTGTTGTTTTAGCGAATGGTTTAATATGAATATCTTGGTCAACGTTATAATATGAATGTCTTGACGTTTAATATGATTATCTTGATCAACACTTATAACCCAGTAGATAGTATAACACGTCTGACCGTCTACAATCGAATTACGTGAGACTGACTCATCAATCACGCGACACGTCAATTTAGCATGCCAGATCAAGGTATATATGTTAGGTCGAAGTATACGTTACGTCAAAGTATAGATCAGTCGTTTTCTTAGCACATTTCGAATAACATCATGAACAAAGACTTGTGACCAGCGTTTTATGGAGAAGGGAACTCTGAGATTTGTCCATTTTGAATTGCTTTGCGAACATAGACAGATGATGTACGTGTAGACCGTCTCGTAGACTTTTTGTCGTGAAGTCAAAAAAAAAAAATTTTTCAGAATGTTTTCTTAATTAGAAAATTAAAAACAGTGTAAGATAAAATTTCAATGTTTTTCAGCAAGTAGCCTCTCGATTCACGGGTACATTGGTGTTAGCGGAGCATGCCAATGATAAACTCAATCCGATAACATTAAATACTGTTAATGCTGCTTCAAGGTTAGGTGAAATATCAGTACTAGTTACTGGTAGCAATGTCGCTAATATTGCTGAACAGGTTAATTAACTTCTTTTAAGCAAAAATTTTCCCGTAGGTTAATTTTTATTGATTTTTCAACTAAGCAAATGTTTGTGAATGACATTTTGATAGGAAGAGCTTAACATTGTGTAATTATGATGTAGCGAATCCGAATGAATATTAATGAATTGTAAGGGATATTGTGGTTCTGATACATCCCTTTTATTCAGTTTTAATAATAGAGTAAAATAATTTTTTGTGCAGTAGATTATGGCGAAAGTACAGTGGCATGAGTGACTAATCTATAAGTTAAGATTGCCAAAAAAATGACAGAACTGGTTATTGCCACCCGAACTGTACCAGTTATAACCAATAGAAACGGTTGAACATTCATACTTAACAATCAAGCCAATCATAAATTGAAAGGGTTTATTTTAATTCTTTGCATATCGATTCAATTAATTGTTGTAGATGGCGAAAGTGGAGCAAGTTAAACGAGTATTTGTAGCGGATCATGAAAAGCTCAAGCATCAGCTTCCAGGTTGCTTCACACTATTATTGTTTTTTCCAGATTTATCGTTTGAAAATCACCCATTAATTTAGTGTTATCTGTAACGGTTCAAGTTCTAGGTGATCTAATGAAACGGAAGTTTTTTTTTAGAGTACGTTGCCAAGGCTGTGGAAACACTTCAAAAACAACACAAATTCAACTATGTAATAGCGGGAGCTTCAACATTTGGTCGTGATGTATTACCAAGAGTCGCCGCCCAGTTCGATTCTGCTCCTATTACCGATATCATTACTATTCATAATGGTGATACTTTCACGCGACCTATTTATGCTGGTAATGCCTTATGTAAGGTAAACCTTTTTCTTTTGATTTAAGAAGCTCTTAAATCATTGTATGAATGTAAAATTTAAAAGGTAATGTCTGAATTATCCTATTTTCCTTTCTGTCTGTTTTTTCTATCTTATTTCACTTCCAGGTGAAAAGTAATGCCTCAGTAAAGTTCTTGACTTTTCGAGCGACAGCATTCAAACCTGCCAAAGAATCTGGTGGTGACGGCAAAATTGAAAAGGGTACGTAAAAGTGCCAAATCTGTTTTTGTAAATCACTTAGATGGTTTTACCTATAATATTGCCCAATTCACCATCGACAGAGGATTTTTAGGAAAGTGAAAAATTTTGAAAAAATATACTTCCAATAAATTTCATCAATTTTCAGCACCCAAAATAGATTTTTCATTCAGTGGTGTTGAGTTTTTGTCACAAGAATTGCTCAAATCGGAGCGACCAAATTTGCAAAGCGCAAAAGTCGTGGTTTCCGGAGGCCGTGGTGTTGGTTCAGCAGATAATTTTAAAATTATTTATGAATTGGCCGATAAACTGAAAGCAGCAGTGGGTGCTTCACGTGCAGCAGTTGATGCTGGCTACGTTTCGAATGAGTTGCAAATCGGACAAACGGGCAAAGTTGTTGCGCCGGTAACTCTTTATATGAATCAAGTATTCAGATAAGAACTAAACTGATTAGATTTTCGTTGTCAATCAGTGTTTAACTTCGAATCTTGTCTTACTAAATTACAGTGAAATCCGGATAATCTATCTGCTAGTCAGTTCTGAGGTCCATGTTTCATTCAGGGCTACCACCTTCATTACCTACGTACAACAAAATTTTTATAAGTGCGGTGGAGTTCGATTCTTTCTTCGAAATTCTCGTGTAGTGAATTATACTTGTCAAAAATTTGCAGGAATTATACATAGCAATTGGTATAAGTGGTGCCATTCAACACACAGCAGGAATGAAGGATAGCAAAATTATTGTAGCTATAAATAAAGATCCAGACGCTCCAATTTTCGAGGTAACTGCGTTTTAATAGCAAATTTCGACTTTTGTGACTGTAAACTTGATTTGCATCCATTTATTATACTTCATTGGCAGTCTTTTAAAATAGGACTGCTCATTTTTGACTGTCATGAGATACATTCTTAAAACGAAATATTTATGTGTATGTTGCTGTGTGTGTATCAGTGTTTAACAGCAGGAAAAAGATTTCTAAAGATAACATTGAGGTAGGTTTAGCAAATATCAAGTTTGAGTCGGCGTTCAACATAAAGATATTTGTTTCTGTGGCAATAAAAAATGATGTATTTTTCAGATTGCAGATATTGGACTAAAAGCTGATCTTCATAAAGCTATTCCGGAATTAATCAAGGCACTGTAATCTAACATTTCTCTATTTTACTTTCTGATGAAGCTTACTGTCTGGGATTTATTTATTTCCTAACGAAGAAAATATGTCTCAGTTATTTTTTTCGATTTTGTTAAATATCTCATTTTTATTAAGGAACTGCTCATATATATTTTACTTATATTTTACTCATATATATTGCTTGCTTTATATTTCACTTATATTTTGGAGTAAATTTGACGCATTTTGCTGTATTACATATTGTTTCAATTCGATCCATAAAATTTAACATTTGAAACAACATGTTAACTATTCCGAGCATCCCGAGATAAACCAAAATATTTGTTGGTGAATTCAACCAATTCCTAAAAGTCTCATTTCCATTGAGTGGACACGTAAATTTCATTAAATTTCATTAATTTTGATCTAAATAAGGCAATATTTATGATACAGATTTTTGATGCACAAACGTTGGTTTTACCGCATTATAAATTTTTTCGGGTTTTCCGACATTCCCGATAGAAGGGAATTGTATTTCCGGAGGGAGAATTGGGAATTGTCGTTTAGTGGTACTTCTAGTTCGTAGTGCTATAGAATCTCCCGGTTTGTCAATTTCCTGATGATTTGACTGAATTTTAATATCTTCTTTATCATTGACGTCGAGAGACTTTTCTTCATCATTAACTTTGAGAGGGTACAACGTATTTATTGATCGACTGAGAATTTTTCAAAAGGGTACTTCTATTTGAGTACTTCATTGCTTTTATCCGTTTTAATGTCTTTAATCCTAGTTACCTTCTATACATCAATCTATGATTCATTAATTAGTACAATTTTTCCTTTACGAGATATCTTTTCTCTACGTTCTTTGGTGAAGTGTGTTCTCTTTGGGTCTGTTCATATTTCCCGGAAGGTATCAGGGGTTTTAAGAATAATTATCCAATACTTAACAAGTTCATCTTCAGTATTTAATCTGTGCGGAATCAATTCCTTCTGCTCATTATCATTAATAGATTTCATATTCAAAGAGGCATTAGATAGAGGAGTCAATAGGATATATAATGGTATAATTGTCAAAATTTGCATAAGTTAGTGGTCGCCTTCAAGTTCCACTATTAAAATTATTAATTCCTTTTTCTTCAATAATTTCCTGCCAATAGCTCTTCCCATTGAATTTTTTATTAATCCAATTAGTCTTCCATAAACTTCTTCACTCCATGGGACCATTGGTATGACATTTTTCCAAATCATTCTTAGTTATAATATTTTGCTCCATAATAATTTTAAAAACCAACTGAAATTGGCTGAAATTGTCATTTAAGACCAGTTCAAAGTAACCAATTCAGTGGCAAATCTTCTTAGGATATGCTGGAAAGTTCCGACAGATAACTTTTCAGTCAATCCTAGATGCATCACTCAAATGATGAATCATGTAAATAAAGCAACACACCTTTTCATTAATCCTTTATCATCACCTTTGACAGATAGTGGACCAAGACTTGTGACTGTGCAAAAATCAACTTGTGCAAAGAGTTTAGAGCGGTTGACTCAGTGTTTCCGGAAGACTCGGTATAAGTTGTAACTTAAATGGTTTGGCACCCCATCGTTTATAAGCCATATATTTGTTTATAACTCGTTTGACTTTAGATTTTCCTTTTGGCAGCCAAAATGTGTTTCTCAACTGAGTAAGGATATGACTGGTTCTAGAGTGGCATAGATCCAGATGTTTAGTATGAGAAGTTGCATTACTGGATTATGTCGTGGAAGATAGGATGCTATTTTTAACTTTCAGTTCTCCAGTTAGCTTTTGGATTTCCATAATTTTTCTTTCTCGTTGCAATACGAAATCCATTTATAAATTTCTTCTTCAGTTATCCCTTTTGATTGTGCTTATCTAATTGATAACCATTCAGCCAGTTTGTAATTGTTCGCTGAGAGTTGAATTTTTTCTATTGAAAGTGGATTTTAACATGACAATTTGTCGTTAGTTATTAATTTTATGAATTTGAGAATCCGATCAGTTGTTCATAATAATCTTAACCACTTGTTGAAACGACTGGTATCTATAAATTGAAATTTAGTTCTCTCGTAAATATGTGTAACCTTCGCGATGGCATTTCTTCTTGTTCTTTCTTATTATCGAAACAATGTTCCCATTGTGGCTAGTTGTTTTTTTTTTTTTTTCTCCTTTCAGCCATAGTGGTCCATACCATCTTAAAAGATCTAAATTTTTTTGAGGAATGAGTCCTCTTGTAACCATATCTATCAAATTATGTTCTAATGGGATGTATCGAAACATGAATTTCGCTTTGCGTATTTCCTCAATTCGGTATGAGCGAATCTTGATAACAATCCAAAATAATTTTTTTTACCCAATAATGAACATTTAAAATCTGACTGTAATATATCATCAAGAACCAGCTATGTCATCATCGAACTGTTCAGCTCGTATTCTGATAAATATCGTGAGCACTTCCATCTATTCAGCAATCCTTTTGATGAGGATAATACGAGATTTGACAAAGACCAAGAATGATTCCTTCTCTTGCATTTCTTGACTTAGCATATATACCGTTATTGGATATGCTAAGCTTGATGCATCAGCAAAAACATGGATTTCAATTATACTTAAAAACTTTGAGATTGCGATAAATCCTCACGATTATTGGCCATTCATTGATAAGAGGTTCCTATTACCACTGATAAGAGATTCCTATTGTTCGTCGTCAATAACTTGATTCCATGAGTCATTTTTCATCCAAAGGTTTTGAAGAAATAATTTGAATTTTATCATTATAGGGACTAAGAAAGCGAACAGGGTCATATTGTAAAGTAACAAATTGCAGGATCATCCTCTTTTGTTAACTTTCTTCTAACGCATAGTTTCAACCGTATTTGTCTTTGATTGGGATTCCATATAATACCAAGGATTTTTCTTTGTCTCATTTTTTTGCTTGATCTTATTCGGATGGAATTCTTCATTGTTAGAAAGAAATTCTCCCATGTTCATTGAAGTTTCATTTAAAATTCAAACTTCTTCTGTTCCATCGATTGATATTTTAACATTATCTGCATTTATCTCTAGGTAATATTAGAGTGCTAGTTGGAGTAGTAAATTGCTCCGTTTTATCAAGGTTCTATTCCTCTTCCATCGTATGGGAATATTTCTCCTTTCGTAAATATAAAATATGTTATCGATTGGCATTTGATGTTTAACCATCCATAGGAATAATGATATATACATCATTATTTGTTATCCATTCATTCGGAGAAATTGTTTGAAGAGAATTCCATTTAATTCTCTTTATTACCTAATACTATACTGTCACAGTAGTTGTTTGATCAGAGATAACAAATAATGATAATCTGAAGAAATCGTTCAGGTGATATGTTGTTGCATCTCATCGCAGGTATTCCTACGTGAGTTCCAGTGTAAACAGTAAACTTAGTTGTTATATGATTTTGATCTGTTAATCTCTTCACGATTTCATCTCTCAGGAATATACCAAATATCCATTTGTATCTCTCTTTTGTAATTTCTTAAGGTAATATTAATTATGGAAATTATCGTTAGTAAGAACAAGCTTTCCATCGTACCTTTACCAGATAATATGAAATTTTCTACATAACGGTTTTTACTTATTCTCTAGAGCCGTTTTGCTTCTCGTCTTCTCTAGATGATTGATAACTGAATGTTGCAGGTAATAGAAAAAAAGATGATATCACTCCGAAAGGAATCCTTCGGGATTAAGTTTTCCTCGGTTACACTATTTTTGATATTCTTCAACTAGAAAAATTTAGTACGGTTTCTTTTTTCAGATACCTTTTCCTATATCGACTATCATCATCGTTTTCATCATTGGGAAGCAAAGCAATGCCTCCACTAAATCTGGGACTGTTATCGGCCCACGATACAATACATCATTTAAAGCTTCAGATCCTTTGAGATGAGACTAATGCATCGTAAATGGTATCTTTATTAAGGGTTCTAACTTCATGATAAGATATATGATAAATGATACCAACCTAACTTTAATTATATTTGATTGCAATTGATCTTTAATGATTTCATTATATAATTGGAGTATTTTTTTTCTTGGTCGAAGTCGTGTGATTAGATTTAGACAATTCATCATAGCCCATAGTTACAATTCGATTTAACTTTCGCTTTGGTATTATCCATTTTGTTTGACGATAATTCTCTTGCATTGCTTCAATGTCTCTTCATCATTGTCAACATTAAGCTGTTTTTGAATTCCTCTAAATTTTAACTTCCAAAATTATTCCATTTCAGATTCATGATGAACGTTAACTATATACATTTTGTACTCCTTAAACAGTCTTTAGCATTGATAGGTCAAAGTTCACTCATATCTCCATATCCAACTATCATAGTTCCGACTTTCGTTTGGAGCAGAGAAAATTTAGGTTTTAATTGTTGAATTTTCTGCAGGAAAATAAAGATAAGTATATTAGGCTATTTTCAATGGCTTTTGAGATCATTTAACTTTTGCATTTCACTTGTTAAATAGTCGATTATATGAACTTCAATTTTTATCCTTTCCATTTCAGTCATTAAACCTAATTGTGTTTTTACAATAAGAACAACTTGATGTATGAATACAATTTCCATTCCATTGAGATTTAATCAATATGCTAAGTACTTGAATACAAATGATAGTTGTGAACCAAAGGTTAATTCCATTTCCTTCATTTCTGGTTTCCATGGATTAAAAGTATGACATCCTTACCGGTATGTTATGTCATTGAATTAATTTGAGATAAGGTGTTCATGTTGTATGACATAATCCAATTTTCTTCTTTTGTAAAATGGGATTGTCTCCTTAATATTGATAGTTTTCTTTTACTAATTGTAGCATAGGGTGTAGTCCTTTGCAATAGAAGCATTGTTGCTTTTTCTTACATTCATCTTTTTACAAAGATTGTTAGCTATTAGACGACCTATTCGTTGGTAGTACTGAGGTATAAGTATGACACTCGTTATTCCAATGATCCTTATTACAAAAAGATATAAGGTCTCCCATTCTTACCTTTTTCATTCTTCTTCGTTGAGAATTCAGGAGCCTTCTCGAAGCTTTATGATTTCCTTTTGAATTAGTTAATTGCGGCTAACGTTGGTGTTTCACCAAAAGTATTTCGTTACTTTTGTTAAGGCTTGAAAGCAGTTGAGCTTTGCTCACCTTTAGTAATTGGAGTTTGATTCCTTCGAAATTGTGCATTTATATCATTTAAGTCTCCAAGAAACTATCGTAGTTTAGATACTTATCAGAGTATACCAACTTTTTTTGTTGATAAACTTTGTTAGTGTCTACGTTGATAATCTATTTTCAATTGCAGTTTCGATACAGGAATGGTCTAATTTCTCACTTAGAGCTTTTAATTGTCGAAGAATTCTTTCAATAGTTTTGATAGTTTCACTTATTATAGAATGATTTAGTAATAGTAGACGTTTCGTCGATTTTTTTTTTTTGCAAAACTTTTCTTACTACGTTATAATTTTCTGAAGCAATATTATAATCTTTTACTACTTATAATGCATTTCTTCTAGCAAGAAAACAGATCAATTCAATTCTTGAATATCCGGTATTGTCTGGTAATGTATTGCAGCATAAAAGCTACTCCAGAATTTCCTCCATTTCTTGGGTCATCACTAAAGGTGAATAAATGGGAAGGGGTAAGTTGACAAAGTGGGTAAGTGGGTAAGTTAGTATGAGGCGTTGGTTTTATTGGTTCCTGTTGTTATTTTGGGATATAAGCGTTAGATATAAGTCGGTCTCATTTTTATACACAGTTAAAGTTATAATAGCTTGTTTGTTTTCATGCAGTAATTGAAAATATCTTTTGCTCCTCGTGATTTCGGCGTATTTTTCCTTTTCTTTTTTTGCGAAGTAATCTGCTTTTGGATTTATTCCATACATTTCTTGTTGGCCAATTCGAGAATGTCAATGCACAATTCCAGGCGCAGTATTTTTTCTTCAATGATTCTTCTGTTGTCCTTTAATTGTTGCCACTTTTGATCCTTTGATAAATTTTGCTTTGAACACGCTAAATCCGTTGTTTTAATTCCTTCGAGAAGTTTCTCCAATCATTGTTTCGCTGGTCAAGCTTTTTGAATAGTATTGATAGCCATTTCGCCCCACCTTGGAACCAAAAATTTGTAGCGAAAGGTAGACTGATACAGTGAGCAGGCTGCTGACGTTAACGTTTATTTGGTATTGAATATATAATAAAAGCTCCAGAAACTGGAATATAATACAGACAATTGAATAAAATAGTTGACGCAGAAGGACAAGATGTTGATATTAATAAATAGGAAAGTGAGTCAGTCTCTAGTTTTTAGAAGTTATACAGTGGGTGTTATCTAAGATCTTTACAATATTTAAACAACGGCATATAAGACTGTTACAATATTAACCAGCAGCATGTAAGATCATCACAATATTCAGAGAGCGGTATATTTAAAGTAATATAAAATTTCTCGGTTTCCCGACATGGATAAAGTTGTTTATGTACTATAAAAATTTTCTTCCATATTAAATTTTTGTTCAAAATACTAGATTGTGTTGGATTCAATAGATGGCACTGGTAGAGAGGACGGAGTAAGTGAAAGTTCCGGTTTAACTGATAGGAAGGGTGGGGTAAGTGAATATGCCGGTTTAATTACTCGAATCTGTTCATTCAATAATACCTTCAGGTCTGAGGCCATTCAGTAATATTTCCTTCGGCTTCAGTCTTAACTGGGCTATTATGGCTTGAAGAAAATCCTACGATGCCCTACATGTTTATTGAATAACAAATCAGGAAAGAATAGATGTCAATTAAGGAATGACTGTCGCGTGGATCTCACTGATAAATTGATGACCTTCACATGTCTTGACACGACAGGTGTATCCATTTGTGGTTGAAAAGTTGTCCTCAGTGATCTCGACCACTCATCTCAAGATGTATCAGATACCTCTCAGTAACAGACAAGATGGAAAGTAAAAGCGATAAGGTGAAAACCGCTGAAGTGCATCAAAAAGAACAATAACAGCCGTAGATCCATTGGTCTATCCATCTTATTGGTATTCCGCGGGTCGCGGATAGCAGGGACTCCATTAAGGAATAGGCCGGCCTTTCCTTATTTTGGCTTATTAAAGTAGATATATTGTTTGATGAAGTTATAAGGATTATATGCGTCTATTTATGAAACGATACCCAACAAATTCTAGGCCATGACTAAATGTGCCAAGGTGCCTTCAAAATAAAGCATTTCTTTGGCATCTTCTTAACCTACCTAAAAAATCCTTCGGTGTAATACCGATTATACACGTTTAAGCTTAGCTTGAACTTAAACTTGAACTTGAACATTGGGTCGATCTCGGAGAATATGCGTATATATATATATATATATATATATATGTTGTGCACGATCTGTCGTCCGCAAATGTGCGTACTAGAAAAGGTTTAAGCTGTTCACTGCTGGCGATTACTTTGTGATATGATTAAATTTATGCAAATTTTTAGCACTGGAAACTGACGATAATGAATGCTAATAGCATGGCTGAGAAACACGACTGTTGCAGCACAATACAGACTGGAAGTAATTCAGAAAATAATGATGCATCTGTGAGTCAAACCGGTAAGGCTTGCTGTTTCATTGAATCACTTTGATTATCCTGTTTAGAGTATTAA